CTGGTCCTAGGTTTATTTTTTTCATGAGAGTGAGAGACAGCCACCCTCAAGGAGGTCTTATACCGCAGTCCATCCCAGCCTTCCCAGCCAGCTGGCACCACCAGTGTGCAAGCCTCACGTGTTTGGAGAGCTGAACACCAATCTTCCATGTGGATCCGCTGCACTTGAGCAGTCCGTTACTGCTGGGCCAAAGGGCCGGCCAGACCTTGCTGTTTTTTCATTTCAAAGACCCAGAGGTGGGTTCAGGGACTCAGATTTAATGCCAGTTCAACTTTGTTGTTGTTGTTGTTAAAGAGAGACTTTTGCTATAGGGCACATGCATTTGCCAGTGAGACAGAGATAGAGAGTGAGAAATCACCCCCTGGGGGGATGGCCATGCCACAATCCCTTCTCCTCTTGGGATTTTGGGTGCACACGCACACGCACCCACTGGGTCCGGGACTCAAACCACTGTTGACTATGTGGGAGTCCAGTGGCATAATCATTTCTCATCTGCTGGTCCCAGTCCTTCTCATTACCCATCAGTGACACCATGGGTCTAACTGCCCTGGCTCAATCACCAAGGAATCATGGCCCCTCAATTTAACCGATCACCCCTCATTCTGGCCCTGAGTGCCATGGTCAGGACCACCTCTCCACAGATTGTCCTCCTCCATAGACCGCTCCGTACCTGACCGCCTACTGCACACCCCCCCACTGCCTTTGACCTCCCCTCTCCACCCTGCAGGCCTGCCCTGAGTTACTGCCCACACGTAGCTGCCCCACCCCACCTGCCCTGCCTCTGTAATAAGGTCACGAACACCCTCGGCACAGGGCTCCCAGGACCGATCTGCAGTGGTAACCACAGCAGTCATTAACACACGGCACTCTACCAAGGCCAGGCGCTGGTCGTTAACCCACTGAGTGCTCACAACAGCCCAGTGCACGAGGTCTTGGGGCTGCCAGTTTACAGACGAGGAACTGAGGCATGGGGAGAAACGGTAACACAGCTAGGAGGAGACAGAGCCAGGACTGAGAAAGCCTGGGCCAGAGACTGGCTCCTGCTTATTCTGCCAGCCGCTGGTCCAGCAGCCCCTCCCG